GGAAACCTATTTTGTTTCTTTAAACATTTTTATTTTAATTATTTTTATTTTATTCATATGAGTGTGTTGTCTGCATGTATGTGGGTGCATTCATGTCGTGCAATGCCGCAGAGGTCAGAAGAGGGCTTCAGACTCTCCTGGAACTGGAGTTCAGGACAGTTTGTAGCCACCATGTGGGTGCTGGGAATGAAACCCAGGTCCTCTGCAAGAGCAGTGAGTGCTCTTAACCACTGAGCCATCTCTCCAGCCCCTCCTTAAACATTTTTAAAGACATTAATTGGAGATACCCTATGGAGGGGAACAACACTGCCCCCAGAAATTATAGGTGATCAAACAAAAAGCCCATTTCCAGGTATGGGACAACTGCCTTTGAGTTTTGATCACAGGGGATTCAGAGACAACCCCCTAAAGCTGTTGCTGTTGCTCTTTATTGCCCACCAGAACTTGGTGGTAAAACCATATTCTAGTTTGATTTCTCTGTTGCTATGAGAAAATACCAAAACCAACTTGGGGAGGAAAGGGTTTGTTTAGTTTACAGGTCACAGTCCATCACTGAAGGAAGCTAAGGCAGGAACTTGAGGAAGGAACCTGGAGGCAGGAACTAAAGCAGACACATTGGTGCACCAGCTTGCTTCTTCTGACTTGCTCAGCTATCTTTCTTTTTTAAAATTTTTATATATTTATTTTATGAGTGTTATGCCTGCATGTGTGTAAGTGCACCCATGTCATGCAGTGCCTGTGGAGGACAGAGATGGCGTCAGATCCCATGGAGCTGGAGTAACAGATGGTTGTTAGCTGCCGTGTGTGCTGAGTTCAACTCCTGCTCTTCTGCAAGAACATCATCTTAACTGCTGAGTCATCTCTCCAGCCCCTAAGCTACATTTCTTACATAGCCCACCTGCCTATGGGTGGCACTGCCTACAGTGGGTTGCCCCCTCCCCCATCAATTAGCAATTAAGAAAATGCCTCACCAACATGGCCACAGGCCAGTCTGATGGAGGCAATTTCCCTCTTCCCAGCTGACTCTAGCTTGTGTCAGGCTGACAAAAACTAACCAGCACAGACCCCATTGCTGAAGATACCACATACTTTGGTCACATGGCACAGAGAAATCAAGCTGATATTGACCTGGAAGCTTCATCCCTACTGACTAGCATTCTTAATGCTAGAAGGTAACTATGCAAGTTGCTAGGGAAGAAAAAAATCACCAACAGTCTTACCCAGCTGTGAACCCTGGGAGCTACAAGAACTACCAGCCTGCCAAATATGCTCATTGGCGTGAAAGTGACCTGAAAGATATGGGGGTAACTGATTACTTTCTGATCAATTTAAGGCCCAGTCCACAAGATGGAACTCCTACCTGGTACTGTCAACTGGACCAAGAACCTGTGGCTAAGTAATTCTTTGACCCTAAGTGAGAACCTACTACATTTATGTTGCTAAATGGACATAGTATCAAACCATCCTCTCTGTACCTGTATTAATCACTTCTGTTGCTGTGATAGAAACACTGACCAAAACAATTTATAGAAGAGTTTATTTGAGCTTATGGTTCCAGGGGAATTATAGTCCGTCATGGCAGGGAGGCATGGTGGCTGGAGGTGGCTGGAGCAGGAGCAGCAGAAGCTAAGCTCTCACATCATCATGCAGGCACAGGAAGCGAGAAACCGACAGGAGATCTGGCAAGGCTTAAGAACTCTCTAACCCCACCCCCAGTGACGTGCTTCCTCCAGGATAGCCACACCTTCTAAAATCTTCCAAAACAGTGCCATTATCTGGGGACAAAATGTCCAAACACTTGGAGCCTATGGGGGACATTTTCATTCAAACCACCACAATACCTATCTTTATACCCATAGGTTAGTACAGCTCCTAATTCTCATCAGAACAGCTTATATTTACAGTAGATGGCAATTAATACAGAGATAACTGGTCAAAGTACAGAGAGAGGGCTGAGAGTTGGCTCAGCCATTAAGAGCACTGTTGCTCTTGCAGAGGACCTGGGTTTAATTTTCAGCATCCACATGGTGGCTAACAACCATCTGTAACTCCAGTTCCAAGGGATCCAATGCCCTCTTCTGACCTCTGTGGGCATGACACAGCATGGGTGCACTTATATACATGCAGGCAATATACTCATACATATAAAATAAAAAGAAATTAAAAATTTTAAAGTACAGTGAATATGAGAGACTTGAGTGATCAGCCCTGAAGGAGACATCAATATTATACCCGAGGCTCAGAGATAATCACTGAAGAGGGGACAGAAAGATCATAAGAGACAGTGGTTTTGGAGGACTGCTTTGAAACAGTGTTTTCCAGATATGACACAGTGGTTGCATACACGAATGCACAGTGGCTGTGGCTACGTGCACAAGACCTGTATAAGATCAAGCCAGTCAAAATTCCAGCATGGATGGGGGTGGGGTTCATGAAGCTGAGGAGCTGAGGCAGTTGATGGCTTAAGGGAGTGCCAGTTTTCTTCAAGAATGTGGCCCTGGGTAGGTTGCCCACACTCCAGTGGATGAACCTACACCTGTGTACAAACTGGCAGCACCAACTGGATTCAAAAAGAATACATTAAGTTGAGAGGGAGCTGTGGTGGCAAGGGTTTGAAAAGAAGTGGCTACTCAAAACATTGTATACATGTATGAAATTCTCAAAGAATAAGTAGAAATACATATTTTTAAAAAGAATGAAGGAAACACAAAAGAAAAGTAAAGAAATGGATGGGGTCCCTTTGACGCTAGACAGCCTAAAAAAGCCTCTGAATTCTGCTGTACCGGAAGCCTCACTCACCTCCCTAGACTTCAATAGGAGATTCTGATGGTCAACCTTACCATTCCTATTGTTTAGAAAATGAATGTATGGCTTGTTGCAGGATGTCAAATAAATTAACTGGACACATAAAAATATATTATGAAGGTGCCTATATTTAAGATCCTAGTACAACACTTAAGGAAACTGAAAAAAAAATCATTGATATGTTCGGCAAGCATTTGTAACCTGTCTCTAGATCAAGAAAATACACTTTGAAGTTTCAGAAGGGTCTTTGCCTGAAAGTCACACTGGCAAAAACAAAATAAAAAACTGTCAACTGGAGTTACCTAATAGGGTGGTTTACATTTTAAAATTCAGGATGGTCACACGTATTAGGCCCTTTGTTTATAGCGAATTTGCAATTTGTATTTTTTTTCAGAAGGAAATGTAATATGAACCCCCTTCCCCTTGGACTTCTGAGGCAGCTGGGAGCTGTGAATGTATATAAGGGGGGGTGGTTCTGCTCTCTGTACTGGTATTTTGCCAAGGTATGTGCAGTTGGGGGGAGACCAATTTCATTAGTGGTTCAGAGCTGGCTGGACGCTAGTGGGGCAGAATGATTGCTTTGTGACAGTGGCACAAGCTAGAGCAGGACTTGTACAGTCACTTGGCATTGCAACACAACCTGTGTGGCTGTACTTGACTAATCTTTCCCTTCCCCAAGGTCACTTCCATAAAAGGCCTAGGCAGACAATGGGAGGGATGGTTTGCTAGGTTAGTTGCTCACTAACGTGGATGCAAGGCTGTATGTGGTATTTGTTTGGGGAAAGAGGAAAACAATTTAGTAAGGCTTTTAAAAAATTTTTGCTTGTTTTTTGTTGTTTGGGTTAGGTTAGTTATGAGTGTTTTGCCTATGTGACCCATGCATGTAATATCCATGGAGGCCACAAGATGGAGTTGGATCCCCTGAAACTGGAGTTACAGATGATTGTTATCTGCCATGTGGGTGTTGGGAACAGAACAGGGGTCCTCTACAAGAGCAGCCAGTGCTCTTAAGCACTGAGCCATCTCTCCAGCTCCTGTTTTTGTTTTTTGTCTTTTTTTGTTTTTGAGATGAGTCTCATACTGTAGCCCAAGCTGGACTCAAAGTTGCAGCAATTCTCCTGCCCTTAGTCTCCTTGGTGGGGGATGACAGGCATGAGCCACATGCCTTCTCTAGTGATTTTAATGATGTCTATTAGGTATCTTTATAAGATTCCATGCTCACTCTTTATCCAGACTTCCTTAAACCAACATTAAAGTAGGGCTTGTTCTGAGAAAGGAGAACGAGTTGGGTTCTTAAGGTGGAGTTAATGTATCATGCATTGCAAAGGTCTGTGAAAGAAACTTAAGAGTAAACATTAACTTATCCTCAAGAATAAATGTTAAACTATTTTTAAGATTTTCAACAACTCTTATTAACATAAAAGCTCTGCTTTTGATATCATAGCCAGAGCTGATCATTTAGAGGCTGATGCAGAGAGTTGCATTAAGGGCTCTGGAGAAATCACCTTATTAGAGAATTTAGATTTTAGGATTCCTTATATAGAGTATTCTGTATAAAATATGAAGCAAGACTAAACTACCAATACCAATTTAAATAATATGATAATTTATTCTAAGGATTTTTACAAAATATTTTATTAAAATTATACATACATAGGAAGTACAGTAAAAGTGAACAATTTACATTCTAATTAAAATTGGTAGCAAATTATGTCTGCAACTACTCTTGTGCTGCTTTCATATAGTAAAATTATAAAGAAAAGCAATCATATATATGCAATATTTTAGCATATTCTTTAGAAAATACAGGCATGAGACCAATTTTAGCATAGAATTAAGCCAGAATAAGCCAAGAGCTGAATTCCATGTGTAGCCAGTGGGTGGCACCAGAGTCCATTTGAGATTGAGAAAGAGGGAAAAACAGTTTCTAGAGGCAGATTTATGTTCAATAAACTCAGTCTTACTGCCCTAAGAAGGAATTCGATATTTTATTAGAGGTTAGTGAGTAAATAGTTGTCTCATTGTGCAGTTCTCTGTCATCACTGCTGTTCTTCCTCTCCCCACCCCACCCTAGGAGTATCTTCCTGTTTTCTTCACAACCTTCCTGCTTTTAAGTCCTGCAAGCACTTCAGTAACCTTAACCCTAACACGAGACTGTGCTGTGAAACACATGAGTAGTTTTTTCTTTGCTGAAAAAGCAAGAGTTCACTTTTCCTAGCTTGTTTAAATATCTTCTTGACTGTTGGCATCACAAGGGCACACCTCTTGTCATTTATAACTCTTGAAACTTGTCATCAAAGAAACACATGCAGGTAGATTTGGAGACGCTGAGTTGTATTCATTAGTGGCAACACATGAGGATCTTTGTCCATCAAGTCAGTTATTTTTTCAAGCTCAGTTCCACCTGTGTAGTACCTGTCAGTGGCATCCATGGACCAGGATTATTTGGAAATCTTGGCAATCAGAAGCATTCTGAGGGGCAATGTTGCTTCAATCCAAGTGTTGGGGGAATTTACCATCTTCTCCCAGAGAGCAACTTCCTCAGAAGTAGAATCCATCCAATCCACTTCAGTCCCATAGCTTTTACCTGAAATAAAAGAAGTTTTACATTTTGAAAGGCTAGCCCACTGAGGTGGGGGTTGGGGGAAGGGGAAATTAGTTGTTCCCTAAGTATAATCACCAATGGAAGAGAGTAAGGAGAAATTCTCTAATAACTGGAGAGCTTATCTGGTACATAGGGAAGAGCTGTTTAACCACCTGGGGGCTCCATTATTGTGACCTTCATGGTTCCCAGAACAATGATTATATGACATGAAAGTAAAGGCTAGATGACAAATTTTTAGAGGCATAGAGGAGTTGGGAGGATTCATCATACACTGGATGATAGCATAGGAATACTAGCTAAGGATTTTTGCCTGAAAGAGTTTCAAATTTTGACTCTGTGATTAGCTGTTATTGTCTTGGAATATCAGTTCCTTTGAGGATATTACTAACTATCTCATAGAACTCTTATGAGGAATATATGTAACAATGCAAATAAAGCATTTAATACAGTGATGAAATATTACTATAATTATTCAAAACACACCTTTACCCTTAATGACTGTGTTATTTGGGTGAAGGGTAGGTAGTGATCATGGCAATTCAGTACCTGTCAACAGTGACTTTAGTTCTACATGGACACACCCTGTACCTTGCTGATCCTCATAACCCAGAACACTTGGAACACAGCTAGACATTCCTTCACTCATTTTATTATACTTAGTGGAGATAAGACATCTGTTATCATCAGGAAGAAAAAGAGCAACAAACAAAACTTCGGTATCTCCAGGAGAATTTGGCTCATGGAGAAGTAAACATGTAACAAATGTTACCTGTTCCGAAGCCAATGCGGAGACCTCCCAAAAACTGGTTGGTTAATTTATAATGATCCCAGACTGTGAGTTCCACACAGGCTTCCATAAGATCTTCAGGTCTGAACCCATCATATACCATGGTGTGATTGAAGATGGGGTTGGTGGTTTTCCCTACAGCTCTTGTCTTCTGGCGGCTTTTCCTACTGGTATCTGGAAGGATGGTACTACAACAAGAAAAGGTACAGTGAGGGCGTTTTAGTGTGGTAGTGACCATTTCTGCTTTCAGTAGACTGCTGCACAACTATTGGATGGGCAATGGAGGAAGAAAGAGTGTGGAAGCCAAATGTGGTGGCTCACATCTATACCCAAGCACTCAGAAGGCTGACACAGGAGGACTGGAGTGAGTCTCAGGCCAGCCTGGGCTACAGAGAATGACAGTATCTCAAAAAAACAAACAAGGACTGGGGAGATAGCTCAGTCAGTAAAGTACTTGCCTTACAGCATAACTACTGTGCTCCAACCTCAGAACCCATGCAAAAAGCTGAGCATAGTGGCATGTGCTTGTCATCCCAGTGCTGGGGAGGGGGATACAGGATTCCTAAGGTTTGTTAGGCTAATTGACAAATGCCAGGCCAGTGAGACAACCTGTCTCAAAGGAAATGAAGTGTTCCTGAGGATGACCTCCAAGGTTCTGCTCTGGCCTCCACATGCTCATACACATGCATGTCCACAAACTTGCACATGCACCTGCACACACCTACACACCTACACACACACACACACACACACACACACACACAGGCACACACAAGCATGTGGAGAAATAGTGCTGGCAGTTTAGTAAAAACTAGGGAAAGATGCATCGTGCTGGACAAACTCTGGACCCAGAAACAGCCAAACTTGGCTTCAGTCCTGACCACCACTTGTTAGTTAGGTATTCTAGAAAGTTACTCAACTTTTCAGACATCCGCTTCCTCACCTCCAAAGTGAGAATGGTAATGTTGACTTTGTAAGGCTGATATTAGAATTAAGTAACACATGCAGAACACACAGTGTAAAAATAAGTGTTTAAAATGCTAGCAATTGTTTGAGGATTCCCTTAAAATTTAACATAAATGCAACTGGTGACAGTCATATTAAGTCAGATTCAAAATATGTGTAAAACCGGGTGTGGTGGTGCACGCCTTTAATCCCAGCACTTGGGAAGCAGAGGCAGGTGGATCTCTGTGAGACTGAGGCCAACCTGGGCTACCTAGTGAATTCCAGGCCAGCTGGGGCTACAGGGAGCCTGTTTCAAAAAGACCAAAAAAATGCATAAAATCTAGGACAACAAAGGGGCTGACAGAAGGAGGGAGGGTTGCAAAAGGAGAGCGGAACAAACAGGGAACAGGGAGCAAATATGCTCAAAAAATCATACACTTTCAAGAAAATGTCTTATGTAATCCAATACTATGTACAATGAATATATGGCAGTGAGAAAAAATTCTGGGAATATAACTAGCAGTAGAGGGCCTGCCCAGCATCCACAAGGCCGGGAGTTTAATCCCCAGCCCCTAAAATTAATTAGTTGATTAAGAAATAAAAACACTCTCAAGTTCACAAAACTTTATTAGTTTGTAAAAGACATGAGCCTCTTCCTATCTCACTGTCCTTTTGATCCCGCATTAAGGCATTGATTGAAATGTGAAAAATAAAATAAATATAAATATACTGTCCCCTATAAACATGTAGGGCAATTTTGTGTTGATTAAAAATAAATATATATAGGCAGGAAAGTAAATGAAACAAACATATTAGAAATTATCTAATATGTATTAAAACATGCCATAAGATCACAACAGTAAAATTCATGTACCAAAAAAACAAAATTATTACATATTAGGAATTGTATTGTAACTTGGGATTTATTAATATTTCCTAAGATCAGTAATTTTTTTAAAAACTTAGAACTTCAGTGTATTCCTGATTGATAATCTAAGGAATTACTGCTATAAAGAATTGAAAAAGAAGAGAAACCTCTCCAGCTGACTAAATAAATAATTTTGTATTTTTGTAATCATTTATGCTACTTTTTTATGATAACTGAATGAACATTAGCCTATCATGCCTCTCTTGTAAGAAGTCTGAGAGTGGACTCAAAATGAGAGACTGAGCTGAGCTGAAACAAACCTTACCAGATAACATCTATGAAGAGTGTGTGGTGCGTGCATGTATGTGTATTTAAATCATAAACAATGTCAAACATACTTAAATCTATGTTGCATACACCTAAATCGGTACAACTTATCTTCTAATAGCATCTGTATGGATAAAATTAGAGCTAGGAGATCACACTGACATCTGACATCTATTTAGATAGTATTTTCTGAATGCCTCCCCCCCTTTCTCTCTCTCTCTCTAGTCACAAAAAGTTTGCTATTTGAATACTCCAATGATTATCTTATGAGTTAACTCTTACTAATTGTTTGGCAAATCATTTTCAAAATATCTGCAATCTGATGCAAACACCCTTTGCAAATGAGCCAAAAGCATGAAACAAATAAGAGAAATTCTTCCTCATCCACAAAGGAGCCAAGTACTGTGACAACCCACCATTAAAGTATAGGTAAGCCATTTTGTACTAAATAGTATCCTCAGCAACCAATGTACTCTAGAAGACATTGCACACAGGTAGGAATTTGAAATCTTTAGCTTCATTTGTAGATATGATCTAGGTTTATGATTTTAAAATGAATAAGAACTGTCATGATAGATTCTTGTAGTTGATACCTCTAATTAATCTATGGCTGATGAGTTTCAGCATCATTAATACAGAGAACTGAAACCAACCAGCAAATGTGAACTTAAGGCACTACTGAAGAAAGCCAAGTCATTAAGGGTCTTACCATTTCACAAAGGAATTTAACTGGCTCCCCCTTAGCAGTGGTAGATCGAGGCATTCCTTCACCCAGATGTGGACTTCTCCAGTTGTAGGAAGTTTTTTGCCTGTCATAGAACAAGAATAAAATGTGCTGCCATTTTTTCTGGCAAAAGATGTCACCTTACATATGGTATAGCACAAGGAGACAAGCTAATGCTTGATGGTATTAAATTGATTAAGTTTATATACTCTCAACTATATGTTTCATAGCCTGATTGTACTTCAGTCAGATAGCTCTATAAAAATAATTCTGAAGAGTAAGAACATTTATATTGCTTCCAATATAGAACATTTCATCATTCTGTTTTGGGTTTGGTTGGTTCAGCAATATCAAATATCAGGGATGTGGTTCATCCATTTATAGTTATATTCAGTGTATCTCAGGGAAATGCATAATCCTTTCAAACACTATTGCCAGTGTGAACTGTTGTTAGTGAAAGGCATTTTAAAGGTATATTTGTGTGTAAAACCAGGTATTGGCTAAAGTGTAGCTACAGGGAAACCCTGTCTCAAAATATGAATAAATAAATAATTTAAATATTTCTAAGTGCTTATATATTTTATAGGGACACTGAATATACATGTATGATGCTATAGACAGAGAATTGCTAAGAAGTTGGCTTAGCCTGATGTTACTGTCTAGATTGATTGCACATGAACAGGGGAACGCTATCAAATTTTTCTAGAGAGCTTAGCCCAGTCCAAAAAACCGCACTTGCAGAGCATCTGCAGTGTGTTCACACTGGTGATAGGAATGACATTCTACACATACATACAAGAAATACAAAAGGCAATTTATGCCCTTGGGAAATGTATACAGTTAAACAGGAGAAATTCAAATAAAAATCACAAAAATATAACAGTGTGAAATGTCAAGCTGTTACCACAATACTCTAGTAAACGATGTGATCAGGGAGTGCTAACTTAGTCAGGAAAAGCTTTATTGAAGCTTCATTTAATACTTGGATGGGTTAAGGAGAAGAAAAAGCCACTGTAGGGATGGAAACCTACATGAGCAAAAACTCACACAAAGATAGAGCCCATCACAACACACAATTCCCTCAGCCCTCACCACCAAGTCACAGTGAGGAACATGAGAAATGAGTTTGGTATTTTTGTGCATGTTGACCTTAAGTGACAGGATACAAAATGAATAGAAGGCCCTACCATTTAAAAAGATTCTGAAGTTACAGAATAATGGCCTGCCAGCAATTTAGCCTAAAGATACACTTTGCTTGCCCTTCACTTTTTTTTTCTTTTAAGCTTAGAACATCTTTTTTCTAGTTCAACTTCTGCTATTACCATCCACTATTTTTTTTATATCACTGCCTTTACTGCTTGGTTATGGAACATCTGAGTTTTCAACTCCCAATTTCAACCATAACATTCTTACAGATTCTTTTGAAAAATTTTATGTCATACACATAAAATGGTTATTTGTGCCAACACTCATACAGTGTTTTGCTGGCATGCATGTAAGTGCACCTGTGTTGTGCAATGCTCATGGAGACCAGAAGAGGGCATCAGAATCCCTGGAATTGGAGTTACAGTTGGTTGTTAGCTGTTATGTGGGTGCTAGAAACCAAACCCAGGTCCTCACAGGAACAGCCTGTGCTCTTAACCACTGAGCCATCTCTCCAGCCCCTCATACATGTTCTTAAGGAGAATTTGTTCCAGAAACAGGTGTTGACAAGCTCTAACATTCATTTCCTGCTAGTTTTTCCATCTCTAACAGACTAGAGACATAAAACCTATGTCCAGGATACAATTAGTAATCAAGAAGAAAAAAATCTTCCCTCCTATTGAGGCTCTAAGAATGGAGGACCAAGGAGCTATAATGTCCTAGGGACTTTTTGTGAATCCTTTAAATTCCGACCTGTGAAAAAGAACATTCAAGTCCCATTCATCACAGTATTATCAACTGGCCCAAATTTTCCCTACAGCGAAGCCCATTTGCACTGTGCAGATACAAACTTTTTAGAGACGGAAGGAAAGTTAAAACAAAGATTACATACAGAACTAAAAAAAAATAGCAAACAAACAAAAAAAACCAAGAGTTTTCTCATAGAGACAGAAAGTAAAATAGTAGTTACTGAGCTCTGGCATGAAGGGAAAGGAAGTTTAGTGGGTGCAGAGATGCTAGGGGGGCAAAATGAAGAAGTCCTAGAGATTTGCTTCACAGCAATATAAATATAGTTCATATTACTGAGCTTTACACTTAAAATGGTCAAGATGGTAAATACTACATTGTTTCTTTTTTTGTTTTGTTTTGTTTTTTGTTGGTGTTATTTTGAGGCGGTCTCCTTGTAGTCCCAGCTGTCCTGGAACTCACTATGTAGGCCAGGCTGGCCTCGAACTCACAAAGATCTGCCTGCCTCTGCCTCCCAAGTGCTGGGATTAAAGGCATGCGCCACCACGCCCAGCCTAAATGTTTCTTAATACAAGAAAAATGAGAATTTTCTAGTTTATAGTTATGAACTGACTCCTTTGAACTATACAATCATTAATAAGTTTGTTTAGGAATTAATCTCTAAAAATATAGTAGATAGATGGCTCAGAGGTTAAGAGCACTGACTGCTCTTGCAGAGAACCTGGGTTCGATTCCCAGCATCCCATATGGCGGCTAGGAACCATCCTTAACTCCAGTTCCAGGGGAATCCAAAGCCCTCTTCTGACCTCCACGGCATTGCACGACATGGGTGCATTCACATACAGGCAATACACTCATACACATAAAATAAAAATAATAAAATATTTTTTAAAATATATAATGGACTGGAGAGGTGGCTCAGTGATTAACAGCACAGGCTGCTCTTACAGAGGACCTGGGCTTGATTCCCAGTACCCACACAGTGGCTAACAACCATCCCCAACTCCAGTTGTGGGGGATCTGACACCCTCTTCTGATTTCTGTGGGCACTGCATGACATACATGCAGGCAATTCATTCATACATATAAAATAAAAATAATAAATAAAAGCCAGGTGTGGTAGTGCACACCTTTAATCTCAGCACTTGGGAGGCAGAGGCAGGTGGATCCTTGTGAGTTCAAGGCCAGCCTGGTCTACATAGTGAGTTCAGGTCAGCTGGGACTACAGGGAGACCCTGTCTCAAAAAAAGACAAAATAATAATAATAATAATAAATAAAATATTCAAATATATATATATGTGAACTCAAATGGAGAAGGGAATCTAAGGAAGGGACATGGATCTGAGTAGATCACTACACACCAGGAGCTGGCTCTGGAACATACTGGAGAGCTAGCTTCATTTCACCTCTGTTTTCTGTTTCAAGGGCAACTGGTGCTGTCTGAAAAATAAAGCAATACAAGCAGGTGTAAGAAACATATTTTTTATCCTGTTGGTGAACACTCTGTTACATGATCACTTCTGCCCCGTTCCTGGAATATGGCTCACTTTAGTGCTCTGGATTAAATTGTTTCCTCTGTATCAGAGCTACACTATTTTCATAACTAAGAAAGCAATGTTCTGTATCTCACAAAACCTTGCAGCATACTCAGATAGTATTTCATTGTCTGTTAGCCTCAAAGGAGGAATCAGATGGCTTTCTTGGAGATGGAACTGGTGTCCTTGAATCTAATGCATGCTAAAACCCTCAGAACTATTTACATAGACCATTAGTTCAGACTCCTCAAGGTCATAGGCAACAATCAAAAGGAAAACAAGAACAGACCTCATGAAACTGAACATAAGGCTCAAGTGAGGTCATTTGCTGACTACAGTAAGGTAGCCTGGTCTACATAATCTGTCAGGAGCAAAAGTAACCCTTTCTTAATTTATCCCTGTTTTAAAATTTTATTTTATGTCTATGAGTGTTTTGTCTGCATGTATTCACCACATGCATGCAATGCCCACACAGGCCACAAAAGAGCATTAAAGTCCCTACAACTGGAGTTATGGATAGTTGTCAGCCAGCATGTGGGTGTTGGGAACTGAACCCAGGTCTTCTAGAACAGCCAGTGCTCTTAACTGCTGAGCCATCTCTCTAGTCCCAGCCCTATTTTTTTCTTCTGCAGTGCCCTGCATGCAATAAAAAATGAGCAAAAACAATATAAAGTGCCAAATGATGAAATTAGGATTTAAAAAGAAACAGACAAAAAAGGCTCACAAATGATTAAGGTAATGAATGGAATTTTAGCATGCACACTTTTACAGTGATTGCTCCATTCATAAAGATAATGTTTAGGAGAGAAATGGGATCAAAACAAAGACAAGTGAAAAAGTGAATCCTCAAACTATAATTTTTATATTGTAGATGGGTTTAAACTATAGACTAGAAATAATAGATAAAATATTGAACTGTTAGATTTAGGACAAAAAATATCCTAAAACACAGAAAAGGAAACAATTGTTAAAATACAGAAAAGAGAATAAGAAACATATGGAATACACCACAAAACTATAACATACATGTAATCAGAAGTTCTAGAAAGAGAACAGAAAACGTGGAGTAAAATCAGTATTTGAATAATTGCTGAGGAAACCCCAAAGTTGATCGAAGATACTAAGATACAGATGCAAGCTCAGTGAACCCAAAATAGAATAAACCAAAGAAAACTACACTTAAGCTCATTGTAATAATAAAAAAAGTACAAAAGCTAAAATTTGTAAGAAAAAAAAAACCCTAAAAATTTTCAAGGGGGTAAAACTCAGATGTACAGCTGACTTTGCAATATAAATTACAGAAGTCAGAATACAATGGATGACATTTTGATAGTGCTAGACAAAATTATTTTCAACCTAGCAAAAACTTTCTTCAAAGATGAGTGTGAAAAAGATGCTACGAAGCAAAGAAAGTCTGAAAGAACTCATCAGTAGATAAGCACTAAAAGTAAAATTAAGAAAAGTCTGAGAGTGCAAGATATAATTCAACACAGAGATACAGGATGGGATCTATAGCCCCCAAACGTGCCCTAGCTCATCAGCTCTCAGAGGCTAAGCAGAGTCAGGTCTGGTTAGTACTAAATAAAAGATGCACTAAAGGGGTGAAGGGAATAAGAAAGTAAATACAGTCAAACCTATAAGAATATTTTGCATAAAACAATAACAATGTGGAAACTGAAATATAAATAAAATTTAAATGCAACTAAAGATATCATAAAAGATGGGCATATAAATAAATGGAGTTAAAATACTTAATTCTTCTCATTGTTTTGGAAGTGACAGAAATCCTAATTTATATTAGACACTTTTTTGTTTCTGTGCTGGGGATAAAACCCAGGGTCTTGTACATGCTGGAGTACAAGGGCTGGAGAAGCGCTCTACCAATGAGCTATATCTCCAATCCCTATATTAGGCACTTTTAATTCAAGGATTAATATTATATGTCATAATCAATAAAAAAGAAACTATAACTGCTGTATTAATAGAAGGAAAAATAGAATTATATAATAATCAATTAGTCTTCAAGTGATCATAGAAATAAAAAATAATACAAATATTAAGACATTCATTTTCTACCTGTGCACATCAATAATTATATTTAGTACAAATAGATTAAACAATTCAATTAAAAGAAATATTCTAAGTTGGAGATGGTAGTGCATGTCTGTAATCCCAGCCCTTGAAGACTGAGGCAGGAAGATCAGGAGTTCCAGTCCACCTTCAGCTAGGTAGCAAGTTCTAGGCCAGTCTAAGCCACATAATAAGACCCTATCTCTAAACAAAACAAGACCTTTTCTTTTCAAGTGGCATGAGGCACATTTATCAAAATATGATCATATACTAAGCTAAAAGTATACCTCAAATTTCAAAGGATCAAAGCATTTAAATGACTTTCCTGAAGACTGAAGTCAAACATTTGTGTTGAATGATTTAAATAGCCTTCCTATAATTTTTTTCAAAATCATTTTTATTGAATTTTTTGTATATTTCATACAGAACATCTTAAACAATCTTAATCATCTTTATATCCCTGTCCCCACTGGCACCCTCCCATAGCCCCCTAACTGGAGCTCATATACTCTGTCATCCCTGTTAAAGTCCACTGTGTCATCAGTGTCCCGAGTTGTTCCCCAACGCAAATCCATCCACTGAGGTCTAGTCAGCTTATCTAGATTCCCTTATTTTAGAAAGATCAGCTCTTCTTCACCTAGAAGCACCCAGTTGCCAATATTTCTTCAGATAAGATTGGGGTCTGCTGTTCATCTTCCCAGTTCTATGCTGGGTTTTTGTCTGCCTGAGTGCATGACTCCTATATTAAACTTCTTCCTATAATTTTTAAAAGTCTTTCTCCACTGAATGTACAGGTTAAGTAAATTTAATCCTCGCTTAAAATGATCCCAAGTTACAGATTGGCATTGAGAGTTAAATGCAACCAGGCTTTTTCTGACATGCCAGATCCCAAACCAACCAACCACACAAACAAGAAAATCTGAACCTACCTTCCTCTTCAGAGGATACCACTTCAACTGTTTGTTTTGTTTGTTGTCCCAGTCCCATGTTTCCAAGTCAAGTTCCACCTCCCCTAGGAAGCTGTTGCGCTTAAATGTGTCCCGATGCCAAACAGACAGGTTCAACTTCTGTGTCTTTAAGAATTGCTTTTCAATTTTATACTGCAGTGGAGAAAAGAAAATTGAAGTGATGAATAACATTACCTTATGCCAAAGTTATGACAAAAAGATGAAAAGTCATCCGTGTAAATCAGATATTTCTCATCTCTTAGGTTTCAAGTCGCAAAAATACTGTAAATTCATCCTATTCTAGGTGTCTTATTTCAAAGAGCAAAAAATCCATCTTTCACAAAAGCTTATGTTCTTCCCTCTGCTGGAAGAAAGCAAATCATAGCTCAAATATCATAGCTGGAAATAGTTTTCTAAAAACAAAAGCCAATTATTCAACTTTTGTTGGATGTTTTTACACTACTTATAATATAAACCAAGTTCAGTCTAAAAATAAACACCAAATTTAATCTAGTTCTGTTTTCTATGTGGGGACAAGGTATTATTCTCTCTCTCTCTCTCTCTCTCTCTCTCTTTTTCTTTTTCTCTCTGTCCTCAGTGACTCTCTCTCTCTCTCTCTCTCTCTTTAGGTTTTTTTTTTTTTTGAGACAGAGTTTCATGTAGTTCAGGTTTGCCAGAATTGCTATGTAGCTGAGGATGGCCTGTCTAATCCTCCTACCGTAACCTCCCAAATTCTAGGATTACAGGCCTGCACCACGTCCAGCTAGACTTCACTTTTTAGAGCAGTTTTAGGTTCACAACTAAAGTAAGCAGAAAGTAGAATTTCCATAAGCCATCTGTTCCTACAAACATCCCTCCCTCATTCAGACATGGACACAGAATTTTTCATAAAAAAGTAAAACTTTTTCCCCAGCCTTACATGGTCAAGTAGAAGATTCTGTATCCTAACGGTTTTTCATCTCAAATGTAGTCAGTCCTTGATTATATATAATCATGGAAGGAATAATAGTACTTCTAATCTAAAAATAATCTTCATTTGGCTTTATGACATACTACTTGAAGGCCCATTTGGGTCGTAACAGACCTGCCATTCTCTGAATTTACCATTTAAATTAGCTGAATTTTCCTGAGTATAGGGTTGAAGTAGCTGACCCAGAAATAGCTAGGGTGCTGGGGTATGTCACAGTCAAACTGTAATTACAGAATGCTGCAGAAATTCCACAAACGTCTAATTCAGCCACAGATGAATGACAGTTTCATTTAACTGCTTCTTCCTCTTTTCCAAAAGGATAATCAAATACTCAAGTTTTGAGAGACAGAGGATGAATATCTCTTATATTTTCAGTTTTAAATGATTTGTTGGTTATGAAAATATATGATACAGTTTATAGAGATAAGAATGTGGGTATGTGACTATGCATACCTCCCGTTCATCTGTCTGTCTATCCATTAAACATTTTTGTGAGTTTACCTACCCTAAACACTGTGCTATAAATCAGTACTTGTTAAATGTCTAATATGTGGTATTAACTCATCTAATATCTATAATTTCTGAAGCAGATAGGTAAGTACCATTATTTCCCTTTTTCAAAAAGTATCGTTAGCCTCATTTCTCAGATCTAAGCACAGGTGCATTATTTTCCCAAAGACACACAGTCTATATTGTATATGTAAATGTATACGCATCTCTACTTTATATGTACACAGCCTATATTCTCTTTATATACAACAACATAGTGTTAGTCCTTGCTCTTATGGGACTTAAAATTTAGTATCAAGGTTAAAGTATTAAGTGTTAACATAGCTTATCATAAGCAAGCCTATTGAGTCTGCAGACACAAGAGGAATTTAAGACCCTCATAGAAAGAAGTATTTAAGACAGTGTTAGGATGCAGCCAGAGAAAGAACGTGGGGAAGTCTGCTCCAGCCTGCAGGAACAGAAAATGTACTGTGAGAAGACGAATCTCCTCTGCAGTACAGAAAGGAACAGGGTAACTGGAGCAGAGACCATGGCTGGAGTGCTGACTTATCTGCACAGGTACTACCCAAACAGGCAAGGCTATTTCAATGCCCAGGTCATCACAGAAGATTTCTCTATGTAAAGAGTTTGTAAATACCCGCAATATCTCATTATACACAGGATTCAAAGTTTTCTTCATTACAAGTGTTTTCTTCTTGCCCATTTTGCCTTTGTCTGGCAACAAATAGGTCTTTACATATCTAAAAAAGAAACATGAGTAGATATGAATGTCAGAGAATATAAAGTGATATTTTCATACTTACTTTTGAAAATTGGCAACAGAAATCGTTAGCTCAGGACATTCATGAGAGCAGTGAGAAACAAATGTTCATACCCACTCCCCTATATTTAAATGTTTAAAGGCACTAAGAATTCAGTAGAATGGATCGTTTAATATTGTTTTAATTTTTTTTTAAGGAGCCGGGTGTGATGGCACACTCCTTTAATTCCAGCACTCAAGAGGCAGAGACAGGCGGATCTCTGAGTTCAAGGCCAGCCTGGTCTACATAGTGAGTTCCAGGCCAGCTGGAGCTACAGGGAGACTCTGACTTTAAAAAAAATTTTTTTAAAGGAAATTTCCTGAAAAATTTGTTTTGAGCCAGGTCTTCCTAGTGTAGCCCAGGTAGGTGTCAAAGTCATAATCTTCATGCATCCACTTCTCAAGTGTTTGGATTACAAGTGTGAGCCACTTAACCTAGCTTTAATTAATTGTTTTCTATTGGCCTTACCGTGTGTGTGTGTGTGTGTGTGTGTGTGTGTGTGTGAGAGAGAGAGAGAGAGAGAGAGAGAGAGAGAGAGAGAGGAGAGGCAGGCAACAGACTTCTAGCATAGTTAGTGCTTAATTCTTTTGCTTTGTTTCCTATTCAGAAAAGGCTTCAGTACTTTTAGGGGGCTTGTGTGTTATTGTTAATATTTTTGTTACTGTCTTTTGAAAAAATTAATTTTAGCACACATCCGATTGACCTATATTCAATGTGAAAATAAGGACGTCAAGTTCTGCTGGGGTTTTTTTTTTAATAAGAAAAAAGGAAAAAAAGGAGGGCTAGGGGATTGATTGAATGGATAAAGTATTTGTCATATACACCTGAGGACCTAAGTTTGGATCCCCAGAACCCAGGTAAAAAGGTGGATACAGTAGTATGCACCTGTAATCCCAGCACCCTTGCAATGATGTAGGAGCCAGAGACAGAGGAATCCCTTAGAAGCTCATAGGCTAGCTTGTGAGAGACCCTGCCTCAAAACAAGGTAGAAAGAGAGAACAAATTCCTGAAAGTTATCATCTGACCAGCACACATATGCATTTGCATACATACATTCATATACACACACATCCATACACAACATACACATACATTCACAGACCAAAGTGAAGGAGGAGGAGAAGGAGGAGGAGGAGGAGGAGGGGAGAGAGGGAGGAAGAGGAAGGGGAGGGGGAGGAAGGAAGGAAGGAAATAAAAGGAGAAGAGGGGTGGGAGGAGGGTTATCCAAAACTGAGGATGTATGAAAATCTTTGTGGAAACCTGTTACTTTATAAGCTGATTCTAAAAGTTAAAGGAGTTTGAATGAAGCTACCCTGCACGTGTGGGTAATACTGGCCAGAAGCCATCAGTTAAGTGAAAATCCCAGTGCCAAGTGTGGAATATCTTCCTATAAATTGTTGGTCAGTGAGGCCCCAGAGGCCCCAAAAACAATACAAGCTATTGCCATTGCTTTTGGTTGACGATCAGAACAAGACGGTAAGACCCTACTGCCTGAAAACACCAAACACTTTTGTTGTAGGACATAGAGTCATCAAGCTGGAACTCATCAGGAAGTTTCCTTGTTGGCTAGCTTTCATAATGGTGAAAGGTGCTATTTAATAAGCCTTTGGGGGGAAAACGTCATCAGTGATCTTACCCAGTGGTGTACCTTGCATGTTATAATATTAAACTGCCAGGCAAGATATGCACACTGGTACAATAATGGCATGGTTGTTTTAGGAGTAAGTAATCACTTTCAGATTGAATTTTGAAGTCTGCTCCATAGAACATAATTCATGCCTCATACTGTAAACTTGGTCAAAAGCCCATGGATGGGGAAGTCATGTAGGGAGGGAATCTACTACTGTTACTTTGCCAAATGGTCATATTGGCAAACTGCCTTCTAAATATTTGTTTATACCTATAGATTAGCACTGCTCTCAGCCTTGGTCAGAGAAATTTCTTTTTGCAGCAGGTACCAGTTCATGCAGAGACTCTGGACTGATCAAAATGTTGAGTACAAGTGACTATTGAATGCTCAGTCCTAAGTGGGGCATCTGTATTAAACCGCCCGCTCCCAGACTCAGGGAACATTGCAGGAAGAGGAGGCAGAAAGACTCTAAGAGCCAGAGGCTCAGGAATAACGCTATGAAATGCTGTCTTCTAGACATGACATATACTCATGACATGCATAATTCATAGCAGCTGTAGTTATCTGCCTAAGATGGAGCCCATTAGCATGCTAGGATGAATGGGGGAGGGGCACATGAAGCCCCACCCCTAGCTGAGGGGCTATTGGCAATTGATGGCTGCTGGGAAAGGGGGAGTCATTTTCATTCAGAGATGTTCCCACTGGTAAGTTGCCCGTGGTCCAGTAAATAACCCCACACTCATGAACATGCAAGCTGTAGTTATCTGCCTAAGATGGAGCCCATTAGCATGCTAGGATGAATGGGGGAGGGGCACATGAAGCCCCACCCCTAGCTGAGGGGCTATTGGCAATTGATGGCTGCTGGGAAAGGGGGAGTCATTTTCATTCAGAGATGTTCCCACTGGTAAGTTGCCCGTGGTCCAGTAAATAACCCCACACTCATGAACATGCAAGCAACCTTAATTAAATACAATGGGTTATTTAAAAAAAAAAAAAAAAAGAAATACATGAGAGTAGGAAGGGAACCTGTTGGGAAGAAGGTTCCAGAGGGAGTGAAGCAGAACAAGGGGGGGGGGTGAATATGATCAAAACACATTGTATACATGTATAAAATTGCCAATAAATTAAAAATAATTTTTAAAAATGAAGAGATGAAAGAAAAAGGGACTGAACTTGACCCAGAAAAATGATTAGGAGTCAGACTTCTTCAAAGACTAAGTGAAAAATAGCATTCAACCTTCACAAACTGAAATGCAATCAAACTGGTGCTTTAAAAGCTGTATTACTAGTTCTCCATGAAGTACTTTTGTAAGATGAAACTTACTTTTATTGTACATTTGTTTTGAGACGGGGTCTCACTATGTAGCTAACTGGAGCTTGCCTCCAACTCACCACCCTCCTGCTTCAGTTTCCTGAGCGCTGGGATTCCAGCTGTGTGCCATCACACCTGGCTTTATCGGACACAATTTAAACATAGAAATGACCTCACTCTGAAGTCTTGAATATTCTCACGACAATTAACACTATGAAGTCTGTTTCTCATACCCTTAATGTTAGAAAAAGCTTGAAATCTGATGGAAAGAACAGGGTTCAAGGTATTCTTCCAATTTTTCTGTTCTCTGAATTCATGTAAGGATGTCTTGCCTCTAACCCTCATCTAATCTTTGTCTCCTTTATCTGGAAAATGAACTGGACAAGATGACCACAAAGGCCCCTCCAAGTTAAAATATTTTGTAGCTCTCTGTAGTTTTCATAGTGTTTGGCATATGCAGTTTTAAAGAAAATACAATAGCATTTCCCCCCAGAATTCCAAATACTATTTTAAACAGTCACACGCAGACCCTCTCTTTGATTACTTTGATTCCTTCTCAATTCCTACCAGATTAACTAAGAACTAGGAGAAAATGGTGACTCCTTCAAGGTCTGTACTTACGGGTCTGAACGCTGCTTTTTAGCATCCGCTGCTGCTAAGTCCTTACACTGAGCCACAAAAACATGCAGCTCTTTCAGTGACTCCACATAGTCGACTGCAAACTGAATGTTTCCTTTCACTTCCAGGTTGCCAAAGTCTCCGCTGTACACGCTCATGACACTCCCACTCACCTGAATGTATTAGAAACAGGCAGTGTTTGTCTCATTCCTGACCCTGGTGCAGGGATCTCAGACATAATCCCTGTTTGGCATTGGTTTTCTAGCTTACATATAAAGGCAATTAATTTTCTGTGGCATAAGGTAACATCATAGTACACACAACTAAGATTCTTTTGAAGTTGATCCTAAATGGCAGGTAATAGTGAGATGCAAAGTTAGTTCGATGCGGGCTCATTTCAAAACAAGGTGATTTTATGCTAGGCGGCATTCAAAGTTCTAATTTTAGCCATGCATTGTATTTTAAATGCTAAAGGAAGAGGATGTGAGAGATCCTAGGCACACAAATCACAGTGACACATTGCTTAAATTTCCACGGCACTAAAGGGAATTTTACCAAGTTACTCATCCACTTGCTAAATCTAGGAAAATACTTACTGAGCTGTGTACAACGCAGGAAGAGGAGAAAATGGATGACTGATGAAGGGAATTTAACACCTTCCCAAAGGCATACAGAGATTACCATAAAAAAATCAATTTAAGCAGATTTTTTAGAAAGGATTTCAGAAATACAAGTCTAGTAAGGGTTTAAGCATAGTGCCATTTGTTTAGCATTCCTGGGGAGATATATGTATGTGCATGTATGCCAAAAAGATTTAAATAAATGTATGAAAATGCCATTATGATCATCTTTCCACAAGCATAACAGTACCTCATTTTATTTAAGATATTCTATAGGAATTCAAATTCTCTTCAATTAAATCTGAGCAACTACACACAGGGAGCTTTCCGTTCAGAATTCTTTTCCATATCCTCCCATAAGGCAAAAAAATCACCTCTCTCATTCTTTATGTGAATCAAGCTAAGTTTCAAAAGGCTTATTTAAAAGATAGGTCCAACTCTGTGCCTTTACGCAGTATACAAAGTCATATCTGATATAAGCAGATTCTGTAACAGTTATCCCATTTGCTACACCAAAAATTTTAGTGATTCATCTTCTTGGCAATTTAGGTTTATTTTTAAAACACATGAAAAAAAGCTTTTAAAAATTATAATGGATATGAAAGCCCTTATTCTATTAAAGGAAACAGAAGGAAGATATAGCTAGCCAGAAGCTAATTACAGAGTAAAGCAAATACCCTCGGAGTTTTAGAGCTCCAAAAGGAGGCCACTTTATAGTGAGGGGGAGCATAGAAGTGCAAGGTTTAGAGCAAAGAGAGTGATGCAGAGCCACTGTTTACATACAGAAGACGAGGATGTCATGCCAGAGGAGCTGCTAAGATTGGTTAATGAGCTTGGGCTCTTCTTGTATCTCCTGTGCTGGTAACTGCTCTCTGATGCTGTATCTGTTTCTCTGTCATCACTCTACAAAACATCATATCATATACACAAGTGTTTAAATTTGGAAAGAGTTAAAGTCAGAATATTTAAAATCGGAATGAGTCAAAGTTAGAATCTATGTTTAGGCAAGGATAATACAAGGATGAAGTCTGACTACCCACCAATCTATGACATTTCCTAAGGACAAAGGATGCTAGGGCTAATTGCCAGGGAATGGGATTCAGGAAAGGACAGGTGGTCGGCAGTGGAGGACAGTGCTTAGCTAACAGAACGACAGATGATTTTTCTACCCGCAATGTGGCTCCAAGAGGCTATGAAGACAGCACTCTTGTGAGCTTTCTTGTCATTCTTCTAAGATATCTACCATGCTGCCTGGAGAACTTTTTTCATATATTTGACAAATTACCCCTCAAAGAAATGTCTATGATACCCCATCAAAGTATAAAACACCATGCCTAGCCTGGTGCAGTGATACATGCCTTTAATGCCAATACTCGGGAGTCGAAAACAAGTGGATCTCTGTGAGTTTGAGGCCAGCCTGGTCTACATAGAAAGGTCCAGTCTAGCCAGGCTGCATAATGAGATCCTATTTAAAACAAAAGGCAAAAAAAACCCCAGGAAAAAACCCCAAACAACAACAAAAACCCCACTGTCTAATTCTTCCTGTTACTAGCATAGCTTTAGCTTTCCTAAAAATAAAAAATTTACTTAAGATGCTACTAAACTAGGAAGAAAATACACTAGCTACTCTGACATGTTTCAGTTAAAGTTTATATATTTAAATTTTTTAAAGCTGGGCAGGTGGTGCATGCCTTTAATCCCTGGACTCAGGAGGCAGAGGCAAGCAGATCTCTGTGAGATCAAGGCCAGCCTGGTCTATGTAGCAAGTTCCAGGCCAACTGGGACTACAGGGAGACCCTGTCTCAAAAACAAAACAAAAATAAGATAAATTTAAACCATTCCTTAACACACCCCTATAGTGTTATTGTATTTATCTTTCTATTGTTAGAGGAAAGTATTTTTAAATTATACAACCCATTCACAGTAGCTTTTAACATATTTCTTTAAAAATTATAAAGCAGAGCCGGGTGTGGTGGTGCACGCCTTTAATCCCAGCACTTGGGAGGCAGAGGCAGGCAGACCTCTGTGTGTTCAAGGCAGGCTTGGTCTACATAGTGAGTTCCAGGACAGCTGGGGCTACAAGGAGACCCTGTCTCAAAAAGACCAAAAAAAAATTATAAAGAGGATATTTATTTTAAATACATTTCAAGAAATAGCTACCTGAGACAATAAATAAAAGTTGCAGTGACAAATTTTACTGTATTTATATCTGAAGTTTATTGGATTGTATCTTATAAAATTCATTATTCATAACAAGCTCTTTTGGGGGTTAGAGGGATTATGACATGCAGTGGCTCTTGGGTTATGGAGGAGTCATTAGTTCATGTCAACATATTCCAGGACCATGCAGTTATGTATCAGCATCATAGATATCAGTTCTAGTGCAGATTAACAAAGGAGTCAAAGAAAACTGAAATTAACAACTTACATGGATAAGAAAAGAATCCTTTCTCAAGAACTGAAAAATCTTCATACCTTTTAAATGTCTCTACAGTTACAGTCTCTTCCCATATAGTTAACATTCCATTCCCCTCTATCACAGAACATACTATAGTCTATCTAGCACATTAGATCATTAATGAACTATTGGAAGGATGGGAACATGTCTTATTGAGCTGGAACAGTGTTTTCACATAACTGGCATTCAACAAATATGACCACGGTTAAGTTTCAAATGGACAGTGGACAGAAAAGCAAGGGCTGATTTCACCTCCAAATCCTTTAGTATCCAGTTAAACCCCATGTACTTTAAAAGGAAGGTGATACAGTTAAATTCTGGTATCTCTGATATACAAACCCAAATGGTTTGATCTTTCTTCTATGTGGGGTTATGAGACAGCAGGCTAAAACCAAGAGAAGAAAGTTTTTTAAAAATAAAAACTCTGATGTAATTTCCTCTCAAATCATTATATGGTTCATTCCTATGACCACCCAAGACCAAAGCAGATCTACAAAGGTATAAAAGCACAGGAATTCCATCACAGCACATACTATAGTCTATCCAGCACATTAACTATATGCTATGCTGGCTGTCTTCCAGCTAATGAGTTAGTTCCAAAAAATGAGTGGCTTTTTTTCCAAACTCTAATGTGGACTCTTAAACATATGTAAGGGCTGTATATTGGCAGGTGTAGTTTATCTAAGGCCCCAGAAGTGTGGACAGAAGGGTGCCTAGGATGGGGGTAGGATGCTATTTCTATGTTACTCAGGAATTTTCTTTCATTTCAACTTCTAAAGAATTGGTTTGAGGGGAAAGTCTTTCATTTCACCATCAGAAATCAGAGCAAACCCAAGGATAGCAGCTAATATCTACTGTTGCTCACTGTATGCCAGGCACAGTACTATGTATTCCCTCCAAATTAGCCCATTGAGTCCCAGCAACTTTGTGTGGCAGATACTCAGAAACCAGATATGGAAACTAAAGAATTCTCACATGGTCACACAAGTTAGTATGTTAGCTGGAACTGGGAATTTCTTACCCCAGACCTCTGGCTCCTGACTATATGATAGCAAGAAAATGTGATCTTACCAAGTCAAAGGACCTCAGTTAAAACCTTAAATGTACTTTGTAAAGGTCATTGAATATTGGGAAAGTGATATGGCATGGCAGGCCTGGAACCTATGAATTGTGGATCATGGTCATGTTCTTACTTGATAACATATGGCATAGTGGTTACCAGCATGGGAGTCAGACCTGTTCTCTAGTCCAGAATCTGGCTGAGTGAGGTTACTTTACTTCTTCTCTAGGACTCAGTTTCCTCACTTGTAATATTTGAAGATAATGGTGGTGACTACCTCCATGGTCATTTGGAGAATTAAATAAAATAATAAATGTAAAGTCCCTGGCACCTAGAAGATGGTCTTTAAAGTTTGCTGTGTCATTCTTTATTATTTTAGTGACTGCTTTTGAGGTAGTCAGGCATCCAAAACTAACCTTTACAAAGCAACTCTAAACTACAGGTGGTTACTTAATCCATGCTAACACAGTTCCCCCTAGATTTCTTATTTTGCACCCACTTTGAGATAAAAATCACATTTCCAGATCTGTGTAATCTGACTTCATTGACCAAGAAGGATTGTTATTTAGTGAAATGAGGCATGCCTTGCCTTGTTCCAAATTACTCAAGATCAACAACACTGCCTTCATTGACTTACGAGGCATCTCAGTCATGAGAGAACAAACAGCCCAACTGCGGCAGGGCAAATCCACCGATTCAGCTCTATTTTTCCAAAGGTATAAAACACAAACTTGCCTCATCTTGAAGAAATGCTGGAACAGACTTGCTCATCCTTTTGAGTTTTTCAGGGTGAGAAAACTGATTATCAGGTAGTGAAGGCACTGTGGAAACTAAACAGCAGCATTCTGGTTTCAAAATTATTCTTATAATCATCAGACATTAGGCATAAGTTGAAAATACACTTTGCTTTCATTTATGAACAATATGTTTTGAAAAATGGTTAAAGGCACAGTAGTTTGCATGCATAGGACATAGGATCATGAGGTAAGTAGCATGCAGGTTTTATAAGTCATGTACTGAGAGAACTAGCAAGGAGTTGAACCAAATACCAAGTGAAAATTCACTGGAAAAGTACTAGTTCTTATCCAACTGGAACCTGACTTGAATTATATTAAAGTATTCACCAGGCATGGTGACTCAAGCCTAAAATCTCAGCAATTCCAAAGGCTGAGGCAAGACTGCTGCAAATTTGAGTCCATCTCAGGCTACATAGTGAGTTTCAGGCCAGCCTGGGCTACAGAATAAGATTCTTGTCTCAAAAAGAAGTATTCTGTTGATGTGAATTGGTTTCACTTATTTTTTTTTTACATCAGAGCTTTAAACTCCATGTTCTATATTTAATTGGTTCATCTCCCTGGGATCCATAACATTGCTAGCTAACATGCTGAAGGTTGAAAAACTATTTCATTTGGACAGTAAGGATTTTTGTTTATAGCCCAAGTAAGTATCCTTGACTATTGAGTACCTAAGAGCAGGTTTGTTTATTCAATTATTTTGAGGATTCTTTTTCCAACACTCAGTAATTAGCTATAAAGAATTAAAGTTAAAAGAGTGTGTGTGTGTGTGTGTGTGTGTGTGTGTGTGTGTGTGTGTGTGTGTGATATCAGGGATCAAATGGTGTTCATCATTCAGAATTATGAAAATGGAAATTTTAAATTAATTGTTTTCAAAAATATATTTAGATACTTTTTGACTCAGAGAAGTTTCAATATAACAAGGCAAGATTTAAACAGTTCAAGTTAGGATACCCTACAAATTGAATAGAAAGATATAGCATGTGCTTCTTTTCTGATACAGTAAGTACATGTATGGTAGGAACACTAATCTTAATTTATATATCTCAAGTTAGACAACTATTTTATTCTTTAAGCATCATACTATCTAAGCTTTTATTATGGTATTGCTTTTATAATGAAAGAGTTAATATTTTTCAAGGCATTTATAACACTGTCTGATATACAGTAGGCATAAGTATGAGTATTTTCTAAAAGATATTTCTGATCATCTTTATTTTGTGAACACAATATAAATATAATAACTTGGCTTTATCTTTAAAAGTGCTACTAGAAAAATAGATACAATTGAATTGCATTTTTCTTCATAACTCAAAGGATACAAGTGCAGCCTTAAACATCAGCTAACTACATCTTCTTTAAAAGAAATATAATAAAGAGATAACAAAACTAGGATAAATAACCATAAATTTATGCTTATTCATTTATCAGTTCTCTCTGAGCCTTAGGATTAAATGTAAATATAGATACCAAAATCCATGTACAGAGCCGCCTTATGAAAATACTCAATTCTATCATTTTCTATGAAGTTAAAAAAAATTGTGTGTGTTTGCGTGTGTGTGTCTGTGTGTGTGTGTGTGTGTCTATGTGTATCTGTGTGTGCATATGTATATTTGGGTGAGTTACAGTGGAAAATATATAAGATTAAGTCCTGTAGTATGGTTCAATGAAACTTGTAAGAACATTTTATTGTTAAAGGACTATAAAACACTTTATTTTTATTATTTTAATTATGTGTATATATGTCTGTGTGTGCATGTGAATGCAGTGCCCCCAAGGGCCAGAGGAGGACACCAGAACCCTTGGAGTTGTAGAGTTACAGGCAGTTGTGAACCTGCTGGTATGAGTGTTGGGAACTGAGCTCAGGCCTTTGGGAAGAACAGTACATTCTCTTAACTGCTGAACCATCTCTCCAGGTCCCTGGTCTAAGTCTTGACCAATAACCAAGCCAGTTAGGAGGCCATGAATGGAGACAGAGATGTATATACATATGTGTATGTTTTGTTTTCATGCCTCAAAGAAAATGTTCAGCAAAACATAGCAACATAAATTCAGATGCCCAAACTTCTGCAGATCCCAGTTCAAAGGCAATAGGAAAAACCTCTTTATTCATAAACATGTCTTCCGGGCAGAAGTCATGTTTTGTCTGCAGCAGCCAGACAGAGCAGCATACTCACAGAGATGGGCCTGGGCTGCCGTCTTTCCTAGGCAGCTCTTAAGAATTTGTCAAGTCATTTGCCAAAGCTCAGTGCCTTCAGCACGGCAGGAAGACCTCATGAGTAGTTTCAGATTTCATGCTAGATGTTACTGACTTCAGCATCAGCACACTGTTTCTCGATCTACTGGCTCCTTCACTTAGCTATGCTCCTCATGAGGCCCATTAGTACATCCAAAGGCTGTTGGGGAATTATTATTAAAAATACTGTGGACCTGAGGACCGACACAGGTATCATTACCTTCAGATCTCCAGTGTCTACATTTATGAAATGAAGGAGCGAACAAATCACCCAGTCATGTCTATATACTTTGTTAGGCCCCATAGAACTTTTAAAAAATGATCATTTGTCCTTAAGACAGTAATCACAGCTAAGTAAGCTTAAGATTGAACAGAAAAGTGGGAACAAACACTATCTTTGCCTGGTGGTGGGTATGAATTAGCCGATGGATATTAGTGGCACAAGTATTCACTTATTTCTTAGCTTCAAATGCTCACTTTCCTTTTAGATTGAATATTTACTGTTGGAATCAAGTTTCAAATCTCAGAATTTAAACCCGGAACACAACAAAATTTGCTTTTATGAATATGGTTCAACCATATTACATATCAATTGTCAAATATATATATATATATAATATATATATTTGGGGGGTCCAAATAAGTAATAAGTTGCTTTATGACCTACTGTTATATGAAAGCTACAAAGATCCAACATGCAGGACCATACTGCAACATACTGCAAATTAAAAAGTGCCAATTTAACTTTAAACAAAGATCAAAGAGCAGACTAAGAACAGTAATACTTATCAATGTCATATATATGTAAGATATGCAACTCTCCCTTAGTAAAACCACATTCTTTCTGCATAGGCAATAGTAAAATGTTTTAAATAAACCCGTATCAGAATGAAATAGTTTTTTTGCAATCTTCAGAAATTTAGTAATATCAAATGCCATGTTATTGAGTGAATTAGTTCTTAAGCATATTTAACATTCTGTATAACGGAACATTTAGTCATTTATGAGAAAGATCCTGCTACTCACTTCCTGGTACGCATTCATTTGTATCTGGTTCCTGATCTGCTTTTTGATCTACTCAGAAGAGTAACATTGAGAAAAAATACCATTTCAACAGAAGGATTAAACAGACATTAAAGTAAAACTCAAATTAGTTTCACAACTGAAATTGCAGAACACATCTGACAGGTTCTCAGCTTGTCATGTCCCAATGTGACTCTCCATTAGCCTTTTTAGAGTCTCCAGTTTAATTAGAAATCTAAGATGCCCAGTCTCTTTCCTGTAAACCAGTCAACCACAGCATGTGGGCATGGGAAGAAGCACTGGGCCAAGAGCATCATGGTGAGACAGGTTTCTCACCCTTCCACTGACTGACCAGCTATATGATCTTAGAAGGGTCACCTTATTTCTCTAAGCTTTTTTTTTTAAATTTGCAAAATAAAGATTAGAATCATTATCCCACCTATTTCAAAGAGGTAATTAAAAAAAAACAATAACAAACACTATTACATAAATGTAAAGAACGATCTTTGAGAAGTTCTAGTGTGGCATTTTGTATAGGAAAGCTCAGGGCATGCACATTTTTATGATTATAGTAAGAGCAACTTACAAACAATAAATGACAACATAAATTATTCATTTGCAAAGATTCTGAACTATAAGAATCTCATTTTCATCCTTTCCCCCACCAAGGCGCCATTACAACCAAATCATACATGACCCATTCACATGCTTCAAGATTTTCTAGTTTCTTCATATTTGAAATTAATTTCATCCTCAGTCCCTATTCACTTATATAACCATAGACAGGTTTCCTTACCCTACTCATTTTTTGAAATTAAGGCTCTAACAGTTGTGCTCAGAAAGACCTAAATGCTGAGATTTGAGAATCAAATATAGTATTTTAACCCAGGCTCCCAATCTGTTCTTCCTGCCTTTGGAGAGTTCTGCAAGTCAGAGTAACACAAATCAACTAACTCATCCTCATAGAAACATAAATTCTTATTTATAGAAACCTTTGCTTTCTGAGGGTCTCTGATGAGATCCCCCTCAACAGCAGAAGCTGTCAGAAAGGCAGTACTAAATAGTACTGAGTCAGAATGCTTTTTATAACTTAGGCACTATCTGCTACATTCTGGAAAATGATGTTCTTCTGTTACCCAACAGCTGCAACCCGGTGCCTGCCGAATCATCCCAGAACTTACTACACAAACGGACATGCAAATATATAAAGATATTTACCATCTTCAGCACTACGCACTAATTCTTCTGGCAGATTATCTACTTTTGCTTGATCTGTTCAGGGAAAATGAACAAATGGTTAATGTGGCTGAGCCTTGTAGAGAAGAGAGCAATGAGATTGTCTCTGAAGCTCCCCGAGTTGGAAGCAATTAGTCAAGACGCAGTGAGGGGTGCAACCAAGATGTCTTCCCCCAAATTCTTTCTCTTTAGATTAGCTATTTGAGCCTGTGCCATCGCGGGCGCTTCCATTTCAGCCCGCTGCAGCTCACATCAGCAGACTGCCGCACACTGACTCCCAAGGGTTAGAGGGTTAGCTCAGAGCAAGCAATCTGCTGACAGCAGAGGAAACACAGGGCTAAGGCAGCCTCTCTATTCTTCCAAAAGCCTAAGCCTCAGGCATGACTAACACCTTCCCAAACCTATGGTCATTAACAAATATTTGTGTGTGTGCATCATCATTTGCCTATGCCTCTGGGAAGCTTGCTTGGGAAGCCAACTGAAAAGATGTTACTGGGGACCAGCTGCTAAGTGGAATCTTGGCAGGCTAGTGTGAGAGTGGGTATCGGTATTTGGAAGAGAGAGTGCAAGAATACCCGTCAGCTGATGGTGAGTTTTTTTTTTTTTAACCCTACACATTCCTGAATCCTTGAAAGCTGCACCATGGAAATCACCCTATGCTTCTCTGACAAGAGGTTTTTGTTTTTTTTTTCCTAAACTGGACAATTGTTACTTTTTTTTCCCCCTCTCTTTTCTCTCAATGCCCATCACCAACATAAAGAACAATCAAGGCTGTCCAATAAAGGGCTGGGTTTGCCTTTTCTGGAAGCATTCTGGCAGATGTGGGGGCCAGCCACCTGTTGAGGAGGCTTTAGGGGGAATTCTGCAATAGGGGAATGTTGAAATGGGTGACCTTCAAGGTCCCTTCCAACCCCGAAATTCCAAGATCCTTGGGAGGGTTAGGACTGCATTATAAATTGGGAATGCAGTCTTCAGAGCCCTGGGAACCTCTAATTTTTTAATAGTTTGAGGAAAGAGCTTTTCCTTTTTTCTATTTAAACCCCGACTTTCTTTTTAATCACAGAGTGCCTAAGAATTATTCTAAACCCAACATCGGAAATCATTTGAGTTTGGCAATGGTTAATTCTTAATAAGTTTTCTCATGACCATCTGCAATCCCAGGGGCATAGTGTAACTTCAAAATAGTAAGAACAAAACTCCAGAGGTCATAGCTTCTAAGTCCACTGGTCTAGCACACAATGTACATTATGCTTTCTGCCCGCTCTCAAGAATTCCTTCACCAGTTAAAACAGGAATAGTGTACCAGGTGTATCACTTCATATTAGTCTTTACACGGTGTCAGAACAAATATGTGAATAGATGAGAAGGGATAAAAAGAGAAGGGAAAGTCCTTGAAGTCAGTGACTAATTTAAGCCCCTGTCATGCAAAATTCATTAGGTGCCCAACACTGTCATGTGTAACATGGTCACTGTTTACAGTAGTCTATTAATTTTGAGCCTCAGGCCTACTGTGTGACACTAAGCAAGGCATTTTACCTCTTTGATTTTCATTTTCCTCATCTATAAAATCAAGATAACTCATCTCTCATGGGGGTGGGGGTGCTTGTGTCAGTTAAATAAGATAATTCATGTAACATTCTTAAGACATGTTTTTGCTCATAAAATTCAGTAACTGCTGGTTATTACTATAAGCTGTGCCAGTTCTCCTACCTACCACAGTTGTTTTTATCTTTAAAATTTCTTGTGCATGTATGCTGCGTATTCACATTTATGTGGCACATGTGTGTAGGTGCACATGTGCATGCATGTGGAGGCCCAAGGTTGTTGTGAGTGTCTTCCTTGATCATTGTCCACTTTATTTACTAAGGTCTTCCACTCAACCTGGAGCTCGCTGATTTGGTCAGTCTAGCTGGTAAGCTTGCCCTGGGAGTCCCTCATCTCTGCCTCTGAACTCTGGGATTACAGATAGGTTGCCATGCCCCCTCTTTTATTTTTTTATGTGGGTACTGGGGATCAAACTATGATCCTCCTGCTTATGCAGCAAGTACTTTATCCACTGAGCCATTTCTCCAGCCCTGTGCTTATATTTTTTAAAAATCAAACTGGGATGCATCAATCCAAGGAGATCTAGCATTCTCATAATCAAATATTCTGCATTATTTTAAAAGCAAAGTTCCAGACACTTAAGGATGAGACTCTTTGCACACTTTGGAAAGGTTATGCTCAACTGTTAACCCCTCCATTGAGGGTTTCAGTGAGGCCGACATGCAGTGAGGCCACAGAACACAGCAATTTTAAGCTTAGGTGAGGCACGGACAGCGAGGCAAGCTTTACTCTCACTTGACGAATTTGATGAAATGTCTTCTAGACTTTGAGAAGGCATTTTCCTAGCAGCACTCCTTTCCAAAGTTTTCAAAACAGGGCTGGGTTCTTCTTCTGAACCTGTTACAAGACAAAACCAATGAATGCTGCACAATACAAAAGAAAAGGCTTTGCAATAACCAACGGGCATTGAAACAGTAAGTGAAAAGGAGAAATTACACTCTAAGCCTCCCTTCCTTTGCTCCAAGAAATCATTATTTTCCAAAAGAAAATGAAATCTCCCTACTACTAATATCCTTTCAAAAATAATGTTCCTAGTCATGAAATATTTACAAAAATAAGCCATATTTTTATAAGATTGCCACATTAATAGAAAAGCAGTCTCCAAGTTATTCACACATCTATTTTAGGCACATAATTTATTATGCCACACTTTGAACCTTCCTACTTAGCATTCTAGCTTTTGAAGACAGCCATGAAACAATTCTAGGGCCATTTAAAAGTTAGCTTAAAACCATGGAATGTAGGATTCAGATGTTCAACATCTGTGTATGATGGAATACACAGACGGGAGAGTTTGCCAGATTGATAGATGTAGGCTTTCTGGAGTTCATGATTCAGTAAAAATTTCCAACAAAATGTTGGTAAAATAAGGTGGTCAGCTTTATACTAAACTAAAGAGGAGGGTCTCATAATTACTAATGCCTTATAAACATATGTAAATTATTATAAGTGTATAAAGACATTTTATAGACATAATAATAAAGACATTATATACTATATACATTTTAGTGTGAAGAGAAAAAGGAAAAGGGCATAATGAATATGAACAGTTCTTAAATACATCTAACTTTACAAACAAATTCTCTAAGTTGTCTTTAATTTTTTCATTTCATTTTCATTTTTAAAATTTTCCATCTCATTTTAACTGAAAGCTCCATCACAGATAAGCCCTGAGTATGAACATTTGTGCTTAGAACAGTGACTAGCAATACGAACTTCAAAAATATGAGCTGAATCAACAAGCAATTCAAGTAATCAATCAATGAACTTTCAGAACCTCAGCCTCTCGTTTCCTGAAATGCAGTCTAGATTCGCCTTATATGCCCAATATGCAGCCACAGCAAATGGATTCTGAGACGGATTAAATTCTGGAGTCTCTTTGTTCAGAGTTAAGAGGTTTCTTATTTCAGATCTTCTCAGAGATTTTAAGATGCTAATAATGCACATAATTGCCCAACAGTTCCAAAAGTATTTGACCATGGCTCCCCATCTCAGCCACCCCCAGGAACATATTGAGGTATTAGTAAGAACTTAACCACACATCAAACATGTTAAGCTGCTTATCAAAACTAGGGTACTTTGTAGTAAGTTTCTGGCCCAATGCAGCACACTGCTCCCTGCCAGTTTGTTTTAAAATAATAATTTTAGGTTAGAAGATATAAAACCATGACTGACTCATAATTTTAAAATGTCTTCTTGGATTCTGCCTATGTGATTATTTAATATTATTTGCTATTTAGAAGGTACTTGATGTTCAATCAGTGAGATTGAACACACATTAGGTAATAGTCTCAATACTAAGTGCAGATTTGCTACTCCCCTATGGGCCAGTTTACCCTAGTAACTCAAAGGGCAATTTAGCAAGGGAATAATGCCTCAACAAATTTAATGGGGTGGTTTTATTCTTGTATATGTTTCATTTCAGAGAATGTTTTACTTTCCTTTTTTGTTAAGCAGTAACATGTTAAAAGAGCTTCCACTTGACTAATTAGGATTACATAAGGAGTTTTGGTCGGCTCAAGAAGAGGCTCTAACCACTTTCCAAGTAACTGAGACCTCACTGCTCAGCCGCTCTGTAAAGCTTATCTGTTTTCATTGACACTAGTCCAGACTAAAAGAAAAGGGAGCAACTGCTGTTACACAGCTTTGGTTAAATGCCCCAGCCAGGGTGTACCCTTCCCCAGCTCATAACTCAGTCACTTCTCATTCCAAGTTGCTCTGGGGTTCTTTGCTAAAATGCCCAAGAACAGCAAACTGAGACAGGCCCTGTGTTTTATGGCCTGGCTGAAAACAACCCCGTGGTATGGTGCACTTAGATAAATGTACTGATCAATTAAGGTCTTTCATAATTTAGCCAAGGCCAAACCAAAGCAAGGCAGCAGGGCCAGGCAATGCCCTAGGTGGAATCAGGTGAACTCATCTGACCAAAAACATATTCAAGAAGGGGAAGATTCTGCAGAAAAATGGAAAGGGAGAGGAAAGAAATGGCAACAAAAAAAACTACAGTGCAAAGTATCTGAAAGAAGAAAGGTTCCGGCCTTTTATTTTGCCCTTGATATTTGCCACAACTGTTAAAATATTGACCTTAAATGGGGCCTTTGTGCCTGTTTGAGGTACCTTATTGCCATAACTCTCCCTAGAGACACCTATAAGAAGTGGCAATGGAGACATTTTGATTAGGTCTGAGAAGAAAGCTGACTGACATGTTTTAAAGGTTCTTTCTAAACCCAAAGGGTTATTTAAAATATTTTTGGAACCTAAATATTCTATAGATAAATGAGACAGACGCTGAAACACAACCTTATAAGAAAGCTGTTGCTCTATAATTTATCTGAATAAAGAATATAAATGAAATGTTTTTATTACTAAGAAAAATCCAGGAAGGGGCTTGAAAGGTGTCTCCATGGTTAAGAGCACTGGTTGCTCTTGCAGAAGACCCAGGTTCAAATCCCAGCACCCACATGGCAGCTAACAAGTGTCTGTAACTCCACTTCCAGGGCATCCAATGTCCTCTTCTGACTTTTGCGGACATTGCACGACATGGGTGAATTTACATACATGCAAGAATACACTCCTACAAATAAAAATAAATAAAAATAAATTTAAAAAAAGAACGGCTCAGGAGAATCGAGTCAATAAAAAAGAATGTATCCCTACTTAGGAATAGAAAATTAACCCCAAATTTTTAAAAGTCTTCTATACAGACTCATTGTGGATTAGAAACTCCAAAACACTCACTGGAGGCGTTCCTCCAACTTTCTGCATTAGAACTGGTGTTTCCATCTGAAAACTCAGATTCAGAGGGTCCTTCTGCTTCCTGTTCCTTGTCTCGTCTTTCACATGGTGTTTGCAGTATCAACTCAACTTCGCTCATTTTTGTAGAGTTTTCTTTCATTTCTGGTAGAGAAACGGGTTGCTTATTTCTGAACACACTCATTTCTTTAGGAGCTTCTTCAACGCCATGTTCCTGCGAAGCCCCTTGTTGTCCTGCAATAACACTTTCTCCACCCCTGTTCTCTGGGGGCCTTATAGTTTTAATGGTCTCTATTTCATGGTCTACATAAAGCTCTGAGGTTTCAGGAACCTCAACTCCACTTGAGTAAACACAAATATCTGATGGACCAGTCACAGCTTTATCTCCTCCCAACAGTTTATCACCCTGGTTGACTTGAGACTCCAAACCACTACTCTTAACCATTTTAGAAGCTCTTGAGACACCCGAACCAAAGTGGGGCATTACCCCCCAGAACCCGGACTGCTCTGCCTGAGAGGGCTGCTTCTTGAAAGTGTCTCCCTTTACCGACTGCTGGAGTTGACAAGGAGCTTCAGACAGCTCTTTGAGGAGTTTCTCAAGCCCGGTATCAAAAGCACTCTCAGTTACTGGTGGAGTCTCAGCCTTCTCTATGGTTTCTTGTATTTCCTTATGATGGAATTCAGAAGCAACTTGCTTGGGCATCCCACAACTACCTGTCATCTCTGATGGAGAAATAGTCCCTGTATCCTTTTCATATTTTGATGGGGAGATTTCTAGTGTTTCCTTCAGTAGTTTTTCTAAGCCAGCCCTAAATTCAATGCACTCTGATTTGGGCTGAATGATCATTTCCCTCACAGTTTCTGCCACTTCCTGAGGTAGCTCCTTGCTATGTTGAGGTGACCTAATAGGAAATTCTGATGGAGACTTTTGGGCAGATAAATAAAATCCCTCTTCATGAGCTTTATCAGGAGCTGCACAAAAGAAATCAAAGTCCTGAACAGCGTCCACAGTAGCCCTCTGTGCGGTTGCTCTCAGAGGACCTGAGGGGCTGCCTGCTGCTTGTACTCTTTCACAACGTTCTGCTCTCGCTTCTCCAGCTTCTCTAAGCAGCCTCTGCAATGCAGCATTTACATCATTCAGCGCAGCTTTGGATGGAAGAACCGTTCTCTCCATAGTCTCTGAAATTTCCCTTTGAGAAGGCAATGCCCCATCCTGGGGACCAAAACAAGTATCCCAGGAAAAAGGCGTATTTGGTGGAGAGTTGGACACCTCCTCAAAAGGACTTTCTGTGTGAGGCTGGGATGGCTGAGCCAATGGACGAGACCCTTCTGCAGGCTGCTGAAGCGCACCGTCCTCACTGAGCCACCGCCGCTCACAATTTCCAGCACTCTGGGTGAGCACTGTGCTTCCCGAAGTTTCCTCCCCCTCTAGAAAAGGAGCTGTTCTCCCTCTCTGATCAGCTGAAGTGCTGCTGTGATTCTGTTTTATCCACTTTTCAAAAATTCCATCCTCTGCAGACTGGGAGTTGGCTCTAGTTGTGACACGTTCCAGTGCAGACTGCAAGGGAGCCGGTGAGGTTCCAGCTGCCTCCTCCCGGGGTCTGTTGAGATCAGCAGTCAAGGCGCTCTGCTCAGCCTTTGGAAGCCCTATTTTGTTTGCACACTTCATAGAACTCGCCTCGGGACCTGTGATCTCTTTTTCATTCTCAGCAAAATCTTTCTTTTCCGACCAGGTCCTATTTTCAGAAACACCTACTTTGAGGACCTGTTCATGGACATTCCCACCAGAAGGCTGGATTGCTGGTGATAACGCTTCTGAAAGTAGCCTCTGTAAACTGTCATTAAAAGTGTCTTTGGAATCTTTAGAGAAAATGCTTGTTTTCACTATGGCTTCTTGAACCTCTTGATCTGAGCAATCCTTTTCCTCTTTAATCACTGGAGTAACAAAACATCCCATAGTTTTTTCCACATTCTCCTTTGTAGACTCATTTCCTACCAACTGATAAGTGAACTTTCTGGGTGGTTTTAATGGAAATGTGGTTTCTTCTGGTGACATTTGGAGTGTGCATTTTGAATTTAATTTCTCCATGTCCTCTGTTGCCATAATGTTTTTCTGATTTAAAAGTCCTTCTACTTTATGGGTATTTTCTCCTGATGATTTCATGTCATTGAATTCCTTGGATTTCTGGCTATTAAAAGGCATGGAATTTTGTTTGCTGGTTGTAATATTCTTCTCATCATTATCTTTAGTGTTTGGATTAGCTCCTAAGTCCCAAAACTTTCTCAAATTCTCAAACTGAGAGTGATTATAGACTTGTTCTGTATTGGGTTCATCTGTTCTTTCTTTTAGGGACAGAACTTTAAAGTTGGCAATTGATTTGTCAATTACAGATCTGTCTTTCTCCAAAAAAGTACGTATTTCATTTCCAGTATTTAAAGGATATTGCAGTGTTGACAAAGCACCATCTGTTCTAGAATGTGAACTGTCTTCCATGGGCAATCTTTTTATATGTTTGTTCATCTTATTCTGAAATGGAGACACTCTATCTGATTGGTCAGCTGAAGGATACTTTTTGGATGGTCCTGATATTGGAGGCCATGTCTTTTTGGGTTTATTTGAGGAATTAAAACTGGAGAGATGGGGTGCTTGGTCATCCTCATCAAAGACCACTCGTTTAGCAGTGACTTGACTATAGTCACTCTGGTCTGCAGCTGAACTGTCCGTGGTCATGCCCTGTAACTTCTCAGGCTGGTTTGTGTTAGATGGCTCCTGGCTACACGAAGATGTGAGTTCTTTTGCCTTTAACTTAGCACCAGTCTTTTCTCCTTCCCAAAACAATATTCTGTCACTTACTCTTTTGTATTTCTCTCTGAGTACTTGGTTCTTGGGAGGCTCACTGACTTCTTGCTGTAGTTGGACCTCAGGCTTCTTCCAATGAGATCCACTGTTGGCAGCCCCAAGTGGCAACTCAGTATCATCTGTTGCTAAGGAAGTTTTTAGAACGGAAGCATTGGTGTTTTTTCTCTTTCTCCTGACATTGTCATTCAAAATTGATTCTTGAACAATTATTGAAGAGTCAAAATTCACACATGAGTTTGCTTTATTTTTTTGAAGTACATGAAGTTTGGGATCTTCCTTATCCAAGCTGATAGTGTGCTTAGTGTTACATGGAACTTGGACTTCTGTATCAGATCCTTGGAGACCATGGAAGGCATAGTTACTGTTTGGGGGATGTGCCCCACTTCCTTCTCCTGTGCTCTTAGAACCTTTGTTACAATTTATATTTTTACTTCCTTGACTCAGGGTTCCATAGAATTCAAATGATTGCAGTGTATCTGGACCTTCCTTTGCGGTGCCTTGTTGGGACAAATTCATAGAGTTAGATTTGATATTCACATCATTGTCTCGACAAGTTACAGGAATCAGTGTATCTCCCTCACTGTGGAATGTTGGATCAGATCTCACAGGCTGCAATTTAACTTTGGTGGATGGTAGGGCCTTTGGGTTATCTTCTTTTAGACAGGTGTCACTGTTCATTGAGTCAGTAGCAACCTGTGATTCAGAGTCTGTTTTCTGTCTGAAATCTATTTCTTGGAGATGTTGGAGGGATGACTTACTGTCCTCTGAATGAGAACTTCGGTTAAACCAGTCTAGGACTTTAGATATGGAATCATCAGTTGTCTTCCTTATCTCAGTAGCACACGGACCAGAGTGTGAGGATGGCTGAGCATTCAGAGCCATGACAAGAAGGGGCTTACCTTGCTGATGGTCTCTGAAACTGTGATCTGGCAACTGAGACGGCTCAGGCTCAACATTCTGAGACAGTTCATCTGCAACATAGAAATGCTTGTCTAAATAAGAGAATGTTTGGAGAGCGATTATTTAATAATTCATATTATCGTCTATAAAGGGAACATTTTTAAAACGTTTATTTTTTTATTTTATGTGTTTGCATGTATTGCCTGCATGTAGGTGAGTACACCCATGTCATGCAATGCCCGCGGAGGTCATAAGAGGCTGTTGGATCCCCTAGGACTGGAGTTACAGACAGTTGTTAGCTGCCATGTGGGTGTTGGGATTCAAACCCAGGTCTTCTGCAAGAACCAGTGTTCTTAACTGCTGAGCCATCTCTCCAGCCCCTAAAGGGAACTTTAATTGTACTTTCTTGCTTTGTTTATCTTTCTTTTTGGGGGAAACAGGGTCTCAGTACGTTGCCCTGTCTGACCTGGAACTCTCTATGTAAACCAGGCTGACCTCAAACTCAGAGATCTGTCTGCCTCTGCCTCCCAAGTGCTGGAATTAAAGGTGTGCGCTACCACACCTGGCTTTTTTTTGCACTTTCTATACTACTACTTGTTCACACTAGTGTTTTTTGGGGGGTTTAGGATAAGACGTCCTTATTAAGATGTTCTGCCAAAAGTGTTGTAGAACAGTAAAGGAAGGCAAATGCAGACCCCACAAAGTAGTATGGAGAGTTCATTACAAAATTTCTTTAAAGTCCTTGCTTTTTGTTTCAAAAATCATATGAATTTTATTTTCTGCTCCATGTCATATTTTAAGTATTAATTTATATGTTTGCATAGAACTGAACATCCAAGATTTACCCTCCTGCCTTTATGGCTTCACTCTATACAAGTTTGAGGAGCACAAACTGAAGTGATTTCAGGAGTTAGAAAAACAATTTTCAAGTAAGACTAAACAATGAATTCTTTCCAGAACAGTCGGATAAGACGATGAGAATATTTGCATTCCTGGATCTTATTCCTGATAGACTGGACCAGAATCTCTGAAGCCAGGACTCAGGAATCTTGACTAAAAGCTATCCTGTTTGACACTGCTTGGTCTGCATGCATACTGGAGTTTAGAATTCTGATCAGAATGAGTTCCTCCTTTATACCCCATTTTCTTTCTACAATTTGTAAGTCAGAAGTTATTTCATATGCCAAATCAATTAAACTGAGGTTTGTTGCAGAATATGTGATCCCCACCTGCTCTCTGATGTCAGCTAACCAATGACTAGGAGGCTAGAGAACAGTGGTTATGTTCTTTCTAAAGGACTCTTTCACAAAAGGAGAGTCCTTTCTGAATCTTAATCACAGGCACATATGACATTTGTATGAAGAAACACAGCTATGCCATAAGAACTAATTAGGCACTTAGTTAAGGCTGTAGAAAGGCTCAGATGCTTTAGTATTTTTCTTTAAATACATTGGATGAGCTGAAATTTCATGAAGTCAGCCCCATTTCAGACCCAATAAAAACATGGCAGTTAAAATTTAATCTTTAATTTTAATCAACTCTAGCTAAATGTAAAGCACAAGGATTTGTACAGTACTTGGCATGTAGTAGCTGTGGGCAATAATATCAACTTTCTTACATTAGTATACAATGTACTATTAAACATGTGTCACTAACTGATTCTTGAAGAATATGTGTCTGCACACAGGCTATTTAATAATGGGGGAAAATGCTCCTGATCTAGTGTTGGTGGGAAAAAAAAGTCTGAGCATTATAAATACAATTTATGAATTATATTCATACCTAAATTTTCATGGAATACTCTACAACTAAAAGTTAGCAAGTGTTAATGTGACAATAACATTGAAAATAACATTTTAATGTTATTTAACATCTTTTAAAATATTTTACATAGAAACATTACTTTAAAAATAAGAACAGTTGGGGGCTGGAGAGGCAGTTCATGAGTTAAGAGCACTGGCTGCTCTTGCAGAGGACCTGATTCTTTTCCTAGCACCCACATGGCAGCTTACAACCATTGGTAACTCCAGTTCCAGCTGCTCTGATGCCCTCTTCTGGCCTCTTCGGGTACTGCACAACACATGATACACTTACATACATGCAGGCAAAACATTCACACATTAAAAAATAAAAAAATACAATTTTTAAAAAATTCTGTACTAATTAGTTTTCTTCCCTCTGAAGAATTCTTTTGTGTTTAAGTGTAAAAATAACAGTCTTATGACAATAAGACAGTCTTATTGTCTGCATTGAGGCTTAGAATGAAAGGCAAGCCCTTATTACTCATGAATTTAGAGTTTACCTTTTTTTCCTTAATTTTCCTTTTATGTCTCAGTAACCACTTGTATATACTATTTTAGTAATCAAAAAGTGAAAAGGCATGTCTTAGTGAATGAGCATAATTTTGTTTATAAGCTTTGTTTGTGCTCTGAAACCACAAGGGATATCAGCCAATCAAAATGAGTTTTGCTGATGATACTTTTTTCCTAAACTTAATGGTCAATTGGGATTGAAAAATCAGACAGCCCAAATTAGTCAATTCAAAATTACAAAGATAGTCTGTGAGAAGGCAGGTATAGTTTCAAAACCAGGAAAGCCTTACCCTTTTTTTCCTATAGATTATAACAAATGGAAATTTACCAAAATTTTTTTCATTCTTCAGATGAACATTTAAGTAACTGTCATACAATTATCTGCTAATGTCTTTCTAAATTAGTAATTTCTTGTAACATGAAATCACATATCTTGAAGAAGCACATGCTAATTTTTAATTTTTAAAGAAAGTTCTATTATAGTCATATAATTTAAAAGGTGCAAGGATAAAAATGAGCCTAGTCTCTCACTTGATCTTGAATCAAACTGTAGGACCAAGCCAGAATAACTAAGGGCTAACCTAATACTGACTAATAACGGAGGAGAGGACTTTGTTGGGAATGAGATTTTTGCTATCATGAATTTTTCTGACTTAAAAAATTACCAAGGATTGGATGAAGACTTATTTAAGATGGGAAAAACTATACATTATTTTTCCCAGTATTTCTGTTTTATAGGTGCAGACGTGATGTTGCCATATAGAACATGAAAGGACAGTTTGAGGGACACTTCCTCATAAGTACTTTTCAGCCTTATGTTAGGTGAATAATGTGTTTCCTCTGTACAGAAGTATTAGCATTTATTTAATTCTTACTCTACCTAGAAACTTTGATTTAACTAAAAAACTTTGTCATTTGTGTAAATGATTTCTATGATTATGATTTTTAGGGTCAAATATAAGGGAACTCATTAAACATAAATTGGAAGCTGTGCTGTCCTGCTTCTTTTAGTCATGGTAATGATTTAAGAAAGACTCCAAATTAATGCTTAGTGGCATCTATCTGAATTCTAGCTGGAATGCTTAAGAGGAAAAACTGGTCTTCTACAGGAATGGCAGGCCTGGCCATTTACAGCCCACTGGCATGGTTTTTGTAACCTGGAGTGACAACTCTTACCAGCAGGGCTTTGGGGCCATTCTGATTCAAGTCTTGTTAAATCTGGAGATTTATCTTGATGTTCACTGACTGTGGGTGAATTCTCCACAGACTGTGAACTTGCAGGTAGAACTTCAGAGTGACAGTGAAGTCCATCATTTGAAACAGAACCAGAAATCACTGGCTGATGTGTTTCACTTTCTGATATACTTGGGCTTGACACTGACTGATGAAAAGACAAAGGTTTTCTGTGGGAGGGTTTTGGGTGGTGATTCTGAAACTCGTCTGTGTTCCTTGCAACTTCTGTTCCATTTTGCAACCTGTCAGATTCTAAAACACTGAATTCTCCTACTTCCTGGCCAAGGACAAGTCTTGGACCCCATGGAAGTTCTTCCTTCACTGCAGAGAACCTCACATGCTTTAGTGGCTCTAGGGAATTTGAGGAAGAGGCATCTTCTAAGGAATGATCCTTCTCAGAAATTCTCTCATGGATGGTTAGACCAGGTAATATCAGTTTGCTTTTGGGATCAAAGTTGTGATTAAATCGAAGTGTCTCTGAGTCTGTGCTACTGGAACTGGAGTTGCGCTTGAGGATCCCTCTTGGAGCCCCTCTTGCATTCAGAGAGTCCCTCCTTTCATCTTGCTTGAAATTGTTTGACTTGTAGATCAATTTTCTAGCTTTGGGGATTGGAACTTTGATTTGTGACCCATTTTCAAGCTCCATGTGCATCGGCTGCTTTGGTTTCGCTAACGCTTGACTTGAAATATCTGGGTTAGATGTCTTTTCTTTCGATTCTGACAAGTCACCTGAAAATTAAAGCATAATAGTGATGAATCAAATGCAGGGCAACTCTACAATTTAGAATGGCTGTAAACAGTATGCATTTAGTAAAAAGTGTGAAAATATTAAAGATAATGAAGTAAGCATAAATGTAGACATAACGTGGAAAGCCCTTATAAATTTATGCATTGATACACAGAGGAGTTTTAGGATAATAAAGTCACTTTATGACACTACAACAGTGACTATATGTCATCATACATTTGTCCAAAGCCATGAACTGCCTAACACCAAGAGTCACCCGTGATATAGACTATTGACTGTGGGTAATAAAGATGTCTCAAAGTAGCACATCTGTTACAACAAACATACTACCTTGGTGGCAGATGTTAACTATGGAGGAGGCTCCGCACATGTGGGGATAGGGTATATATGGGTAATGTACATACTTTCTGTTCAATATTGTTGTAAATTAAAAACTGATGCACAAGGACTGGCAAGATGGCTCGAAGGGTAAAGGTACAAGCTTCGTGACCTCAGTTCAATCCCTGGAATCCATGTAATGGTGGATGGAGAGAACCAAGCCCACAAAGTTGTCCTCTGGCATGCACATGCATGCCGTGGCATGGAAGCACACACATGCTAATAAGTAAATATTTTAAAACTTGATGCATGATCTTCATTGTACTGCATATTGACTACATTTAAACCTATTGTACTCCAGGAAATAATCCCAAGAACTGACAAGTAGAATTTCATGAAATTAAAAAGCTTCTGTATGGCAAAAGAAACAGTCTGCAGACTGAAGAGATAGACCTCAGAATTGGTGAAAAATATTTGCTAATTATACATCCAACAGCAGATTAATATCTAGAATCTATAAGGAACTGCAAAAATTAAACACCAAAATAATCTAATTAATAAATAGTCACATGAATAGAGCAGACACCTCTCAAAAGAAGAAATACAAACAGCCAATACATATCTGAAAAAAATGTTCACCGTCTTCACCACAAGGGAAACACAAATTAGAACTGCTTTGTGATTCTATCTCACTCCAGTCGGAATGACTTTCCCTGAAAAAAATAATTACAACAAATGCTGGCAAAGATGTGGGGAAAGAGGAACATTTATACAATGCTCATGAGAACATAAACTAGTGCAACCACTATGGAAATTAGCATAGAGGTTCCTTAAAAAATTAAAAATGAACTACCATATGATCCAACATATCGCTCCTAGATAGATGCCTGAAAGAACTAAGCATACCACAGACATACTTGCACATTCATGTTTACTGCTGTTCAATTCACAGTAGCCCAGGTATGGAACCAGCCTAGGTGTTCATAAGTAGATGAATGGATAAAGAAAACCTGGCATAGATGCACATTGGTGTTTTCCTCAGCCTTTAAAAAGACTGAAGCTGGATGTGGTGGCTCACGCCTACAA